AAAACAACAAGAAAAAAAAGCAATAAAATTCAGTAGTATCAATAAAAAAAGAAAAACATTACACGCAAAATTATTAAAACAGTACCTAACAAAGAATTCAGTATAAACATGATAAAAAAAATTTTTCAACGTCGGATTCAAAGCCTTTCTTTTAAAGAATCCCTAAACAGGTAGACTTTTAAAACGTCAAAGTTAAATTGTCTGTCAGTCTGTCCGCGAATAAAGCTAGGTGCTAACATACAGAGTTTTTATCCAATAATACCTACATACCTAATCCTAGGACACTATACCCTAACATACTAGATAACTGAATTAACGTAACTTCCTCTATAATTTTACTTAACCTTAACAGGATAACTCACTAGATACCTATTTATCTACAATTTTATGTGCATTTGCATACTAGTGCCTACGATATTATCTTCCGCTTCGGTCACGTCACAAAGCTTACTTAAGAAAACATTATCTAAGTCGTTATCCTTCAGTCTTTTTAATTTAATAGGCCTGGTAGCGTGCTACATTACTAGAACCCTGTCATTTACTTCTAATTTGATTAAAATTGATACAAATGGACTAGTTCAATATCCATTTTAGTCCAATATTTGTGATTTTATTAAAAATTAGTTTTAGTATGTAACTAATACGAAAAAACAATCACATTTAAAAATAGATTAAGAATCACCAAATATTCTCATACCCATGGTCAGTACACCTTCAGTCGCTTCTAATTACAAAGCAATCCACAACCTTGTGTAATAAACGTTTAATTGAATGAGATTACATCAACGCAATCACTTGGTTTCAGGAAAATACATAAATATTATTTCCTGTTCATTAAGACCATGAACGTCGACCCTGATTAGCTAATTGAACATGCAAATGAAAACTTATTTTTCGTTTTAATTTAATCACCAATCTATTTGGCTTCGATCAATGTCAAGAAAATCTATTGTAAAAAGCTGCACCAAAAAAGTACTCCAAATATAGGCGCATGCTACGAGGTTTTCTCAGTAACACCTCTAACGAAGCAATCAATCACGCATTGAAATGTTGGCTTCAAGGCGAGCAGGCTAACAGCACCGAAATCGAATAATGACAGTCAAATCTCTTAAACCTACTAGGAAGTATCGTGCCCGATTCGTCCTAGCAAGCCCTTGTTAACGAAACGCACACTACAGCGCAACCGTACCGATACGCCTGCACACACGCGCACGCTACGCACACGTTCACAAAAATGGCCATGAGATAACTGATATCACAGCAAGGTCCCGCCGCTCGGTACGGTCAACAAAAAAGCATATTTCGTTCAATTAAAATGTTAAAGATGGCGGTTCCAATGCAAAGTTTCGCAGCATGACGTCATCATAGTCGTCCCCACTAATCAACCCTGAACTTTACATGAAAACACGAAAATTATGCATCATACAACCACAAGATGAGGTAAAATATTCGTTTTACGATCATATTAACATTTTATGATGTTCGTTATTGAAATAACAAATGTACGGACCACGATTTATTTACGCAGATCTGAGTCGGGTCTAGATCGTATCTACATAAATGCTTAGAAAAATAACCAGAAACATTTTAATTTGAACAAAATACGGTAACTAAATAAACGAGATAGAAACATTATTTTTACAGTTCCATGTTCAATGTCAGAGTCTGGTATTTTAACATTTTCATTCCTCAATTTGAGTCTAGGAAATGATTTTAGAAAACAATGAATAAAGTTTTATTTTGCAACCAGTATATGCTTGTTGTGTTGTCGGTACAACCACGTGCATCACGCATGCTGCGTAACATATAGTAATGACAGTGTTTGTGTCGGCGACTGCCGGCCTTCGGACCCCGAGCTCCGATGAATATTTTTAACTTAGGGCCCACGCAACCATACGTACTTCTTAATTCCTGCATACACTTGAACCAAATCCACATCTCGTTGACACTGAACAACCAGCTCCATTTGAGGTGACCGATAAAACTTTTACAATCATGAAGTCAAATTCATTTTTTACATCCAACCTTTCTATTATAAATAACATTTGATTTATTAGAAAAGTCTAAGATACGAAAGAAAATTGAATTTTGACGTTGAACAAATGTATTTTTTTCATTTAAAATGGAATTACAACAAAGAGAATATTTAAAATAATCGTGTAATTAGTATTCAAGGTGACAAGGGCTCCCAGCGATGATTACGATTTGTTCGTATGTATTTTGTATAAGGAAACGGAGTACAGCACTACTAGTGTATTGTATATTTATGTTTGCTGAAGGCCTTCAAGGGCTACGGGGTATGTAATTGCTATAATTAACTCGCTTACTTGCTTATACCAAAATAGTTGGGTGTATAATCAAAATACAACAAACCCACATAATGAAAAAGGAGCATAAACAAAATTTGTAAAATAAAAATATTTGCTATTTTCATTTGATTCGTGAAAAATAAATTTTAAAAAAAACAAAGAATAATTTAAGATATTTGCAAATAACACACAATCGTCCTAGAGCCATACAGCGTATTTAAAACAGAATCATAAAATCGAATGCAAATAAAATAACAAGTGACGAGCTCCCAATTTATTTGCACTCGGTACGCCAGCCGCCACACATTGCACCGCACGGCGCGGGCGCACCAATAATAGAAACTTGCAAATCGCACTGCGCAGACGCCGGTCGGACGGACGGCCTGCAAGGCTCTTCCTAGACGATAATGAGTCAGCAGACTAGGTACACTTCTAGAGCTGAATGTTTGCCCTACTGATACCATATTCGTTATAATTAATATTACTATCAATTTCACTGACATTTATTGTAGCCTCTTATCCGGGGGATATCCGGACTCCTTTAGGTATAATGAGATATCAGCACAAATCATTAGAGCAGAGCATCTCCTTGAGTTTACTTTTAAAGTGTTCGAATCATTAGTTGCCTTATTTCAGATGCCATACAGGCACTTACAATAAATTAGTACTCGAGGCAAAGCGTAATAGAGGGCTCCAATAATATCCCGTGATGAGATTTCATTGAAATTGTGATTATTGGTTATTACCTTCATGAAGTACATTTACATGACTTCAAAGCTTTATTGTTCTAATTAAATCGAATGCAAATTAATTGGACTGAGGTAACGATGCAACATGCGAGAAACGTAGCACTTTGATGTGCCCTTGTAGTGTTGAAATTACGAACAACTTACACGTGGCTCAAACTGTTGCAAACGCAATCACTATTTTACTAAATTACTAGTAACTTGTATCTACTATGTAACCCTTTTATTATTGTCAATCATTATACTATGCCTCTAGTTTTGTTTTTACGGTTTTCTTTTGGGAAATTATGGAGTTATAAGCTTCTACAATCGTTTTTGCCTAGGTGTAGTTCCAAACTAAAATCTATAATCAGAGTAGTTCTTACTTGGAAGAGTAACAAACAACAATCGAACTCTTATACATATACTTATCATCCTATAAAAAATAGGTCGTAGACATAGAGACATTTTTAGTTAACTAAACTGAAACTTAGAAGAAAATTCTGGAAATATTTATGAGGACTGTTCCAAAAATTAAAGCAATCAAAGGTTGTTATATCAGAGTTAACATGGAGGTCAGTCGCCCAAATATTGGCGACCATCAATTCCGTATCGTGTGTCAATTGCTTGCATCGACAGATAATGAAGACAAAATGTTTCAATCATATATAATAATACCATCGAGCCGATTGCTTTATAAACACAATGTAAAAATGCTGAAAACTTTGAACAATTTTCTCTGTCTGTTGAATTGTTTTTTTGCATCGAATTTCTTTGATGGATAGAGACTGCTCATTCATTTCCTTGAACCACGGACAGACGGATGATCACTTTATTTCAAAGGTATATGCGGATTCCATGAAAAATCTCTTCTGGCTTTAGAGTTTCATCTACCATCGCATTTTTGATGAAGGTCATCAAACATGACGGCATACGTTCAAAACATAGGAGCCAGCCATAAGGGTGAAATTAAGAAAAGTGTATATTTTCAATAATTCGTAAAACACGATCTATTCAATTTCTTTCCAAACATGTTGATAACGAAAATCTAGCCCATATAATTTTGCACAGTTCCAGTATTTACATAGCTTGCAGCTTCGCATTGTTTACTTGGATAACTAGGGCAGACATTTTTAAATTCTGTTTACAGTATTATACGGCACATACTTGGTTTTTAGTCACAAAAATGTCGAACACGACAAAATTATTATATTAAAAACTTTAACCTTTATTGTCAAGATTGAAAATCGTTATTTATGTCTTTATTATCTCGTATGGCGAAAAAAACTTCAGACATCATGCACGCTTTTGTCTGCAATTTTGTCCAAAAATAGCCATCCTCATTCCTCTTTTAACGTCCCTCAACCAGTAACCAGTGTGGTACTGGACTATTAAACCTGAAAGAGCTCCATCACTGTCCGTGCCATGCTTTACAATTCCCACTAGCTACTCGTAGAAAGGGCTTTGTACTATTTCGGTTTTGGGCAAGCCATCAGTCATCAAAGCGCATGCAGCTTCCGCGTTGGAAACCGGCCAGTTATGTACAAAGGATGCATTAAGGACCCAGAATTATGACACACGATCTAAACACACAGTGGCTGTAAAGTATTACGGTTTTAGAATAATGCGTTCTAGTTCAGAATTGCTGTTTTATATGTAAATTCGATGTGAGGGGAAATAGAAACGATTTCCTACAGTTTTAGTGTTATCGATCATTCTAGACTGATCTTGAGTCTCTAGTTTCGTGAAGACTATTCTGTTTAAAATCAACAAACTACATATATTCTTAAAGAAACAGACGATAAATAAAATAAATCATAACATTGGAAACATCTTATAACGAATCACCCCTTTTAGTCTCTCTAAAAATCTCACATAATTGGAACAGCAGTATGAAGGAATACCTACGCTGTACTTGACATTTCAGACTTTCAATGTATACCTATATAGTGCTTGTAACCCTTACCTTAACTCTAAGCCTTTTGTCGACGCAATCCTTTAAAACGCCAAGAGGTCCCTCCATAGCCTCTATACGAGTGAGGAGGTTTCTCGCTCTGTATTCTTTTGTAGGCACCATGACTAGAATCAAAAATAAAATCGATTAACATAATAAAAATGGTCAGTCAGTGGCAGGGCTTAACTAACTTAAACATCGTGACACATACTTTTGTTTTTACAAAAGTATCCAAGGGCTGGAGTAGTTCAGCCGGGGTTGCGGGGTAAGCGCAATGAGGCACCGCGACCTCGGCACAGAGCAGGAGAAGGAACAGGGGGGTTTTTAGTCAGTAAGAGTCTGACACTCCCTCCTGCCCGGCCCTGGGCGGGAGAAGCCATTTGATGATTTTCCCCTCACAAAAAAAAGGGCTGGAGTAAGTGGCGCTATCTAGAATCTGCCTACCTCCATACTCGTACGACGAAGATATTAATTTATTTATGTACATTAGTACGCAAAGGGCACTTTAAAATAGTTCTGACACGAAATATTCTTACGCATCTTTTGTTTGTATTTTTGTACCTACGCTTAGTTATGAGTCATGGCGCAACTCGAGGAAGACATCAAATAAAGTCCCGTGAAGGTAAACGTGTGCCATCTGCGTACCTACTTACCTACTGCTATCTTAGTAATAATATTAAGCAACTTAGAATTTCTTCCTCTTCATTTAAAACAAAGGTTCTGTTTTATAAAATGTTAAAAATGTATAAGTCACATTGTAAAATAATTGTTTTTCCAAAGCGGTTACAAAAAGCAAAATCATACAATTATCGCAAGTTACACAGCTGAACCTCAGCTATTAATAATACGAGACAAACGCGTAAGTATTAGTGTATTACGATAACAATGACGAAAAGAAGTCAACGCACCCGCTTTATCAGCGACACAAATATGACACCTGTAAAAATATCGCAAGTTTACGTCACCTCCATGCCCAGTGCACGGGGTATGCGCGGGCGCAGCGGCGCACACGCGTGCACTCATGCGCCGGAGCACTCACCCATCAGTTTGGTCAACGCCTGCTTGCCCCAGTGTCATTGTTGAGTTCAAAAAGACGTAACGAGCAAAAATAACGTGAAGAACTGATACCGTACGATCAGAACTCATCAATTTTATAGAAACATTACAATAAACTCTTCAACGGCTTAATTAGCAATTGTACAGGTTATCAGATGGAGTTGGTCATTTGAAACGTTATCGTCGGACCGTTATTTTTCGCGAGAATTTACTTAATAAAGATACTTTGATAAATGCTTCTAAATATAGACGTATCTAAATGAAATCAAAAGCGGCTACGCGAAACGGGTTTCTCATTAGAACTACGCTAGAACGAAATGATCGCTATCGACATGTTGATATTTTAGACTAATCACAAGTTATCAATTAACCAAAGAAACATTATTGATAGAGATATTACAAGCTATTGGTGGTTATTACAATATCACATTGACTTTTCAACCGTGGTAAATCGACTCTCAATAGAACAACTATAAAAATGCTTAACTTAAGACAACTGCCGTGAATATTAAATAAACAGTAAAATTCTTATTGTAAATATTCTTGCACATAGGTTCAGGACACGTGAACTATTTGTAATTACACCTTCTGCAATTAACTCTAAATAAATTAGATTTACAAATTGAAGACGTTCGTTAGACGTGGCTTATCAAGCTTATTCCAATTAGCAGGCAGTATACACAGATTAAGCATCATAATTCCACATCTTTTCTAGGAATCACCGACTTAATTCCTTTAAGGACCAACCCAACTTTGATCCGTTTAGTTAAAAATATATTTGTAATAAAAGTCGTCGTTTTACTTAAATTTATTTCAATAAAATTTTATACGTCGTTTTTACAAGTATTATTGGGATTCTACTATTACCTAAGCGAGAGAACTTTATTAAATTTTAACTTTAATTGTCTTTACCAGATGTCGTCTATTTGGTTTGAAGAAAGTCTACTCAAAGGAGCAGATTTTTCAAGCCTATAAGTACCTAATTTCGTAGTCATTTTGCAGTATCATTGATACCTAATCAGAGCCACGAGTACTTCAGAACTCCTGTTACACAATTGTAGGCAGATTACCTATGACTATATTGTATTGAGTTACAGTGGAGTTACCTAAATAATTAAATACAAATGAAACAGGTAGCTGTCTGTAAAGGAATAAACAAAAACAGCAAATGTGCACCGCCTATCAACAAAAGTCATTAAAATTGATTAACACACCTGATTAAAAAACTGTAAAGTACCAACAAATCTATGCAGCAGCGGCGCTGGAGGTACCAGGACGGCATGGCTCGCGAGCGGTCGCCGATCGCGAATTACTTTCACTCCACTATCCCCGGGCGCTGACCGCGCGGCCGGGGTCGTCGGCCGCGAGCCGAGCGCGGGAAACGCCACCCGCCATCGCGCCATTCAGAAAAGCGCGCCATGTTTACACAGATGCGCGCCGAAACGCGTGCCGTTGCATCACTTCCGTTTACGTTCCGTTCCGCGATTATTGGCGACGTACCGATTTACTTTTATGCATTTAACACAATTATTTGTAAACATATTTAACCCATATGGTGCAGCGTCGTTCTTTTTATCCAAGAAATCCCGCAAGATCTACAAATAACCTACAATCAATAAAAGCCTATTGACTCATTTATAAATATAATGCCTAATTATTTACTAATTGTTGATTGAATACAATGAAACAATGAAACAATGAATTTATTTTTGCAAATAGGCCATAAAACGGCACTTTTACACGTCAATTATATATTATAATTATAATAGAGCACTTAAGTATTGCAGTGTTGGTGACGATAACAGTGAGAAGCGTACCAAGCCAAGCGCGCACGCACATGTCGCTGGGTTAGCGTGATAGATAACATAGCACGCAACTATTTGTTATCTCCTCTATAATTCGTAAACACTAATTCTCGTAATTACTTTCTTTAGAAAAGATAAGTTATGTAAAAAAATATGATGTACAAGATATTTCAGCAATCTTTCAAATAGATAAATTAGAATTTATAGTTACAAAAATGTTAAACAAGTTGCGCCGAATAAAAATATTAGCAAATTTTTTTATGTCAGGACAAATCTTAAAAGCGACAGCAACTTCGTAGTCATAACATTTCAAATGGATTATTTTTGCTGTTTTATCTTGGATGACACAATTTTTAATCTACACCACTTAGCAGACGTCGTAAAATTAACAATAATTTCGGTTGGCAACACAACCTTTTGGTGAAGGTATTTCATCAGCCGTATAGGGTTGTCTTAAAAATGATTTAACGACTGCAACTTACTTAAATACTGAAGCAGGTGCAGAATAAAAGGTTACCACCAAATGGCTACTCAAAATAACTTAATTCGTGTTAGCTTTCAAATGGAACGTATAAAAGACATCATATAAAATTTCATTAATTGATAAAATAGGTTGGCTTACGTTGCAAAATATGTTATACGGGCTTTAATAACTATAACGACGGATTCAGAGCTAAAATCCATATTTTATATTACATTTCACCAGGTGTTTTATGCATTCGCAGTCTAGGCCGTTCCAAATTTAAATATTCATGACATAGACACTAAAACAAATCTTTCGAAGCGATAATAAAGTTTTTGCCTCATAAATTGATAATCATTAGGATTGTATAAAGTCAATTTCGCCTGCGGTTTCCTGATTTCGTCTGAGTACATGTGGTCCTCAATTTTCGTACGAAGTCCAGTGCCAACAGCCCTAGGCGCAAAATCTCTGGATGGCATGTCAACGACCGAGACTCCAGGCCGAGTGAGACGGCGAATGCCACTCATGTGGAAAGCGGTTATGCAACAATCGCACACGCGAAAGTCTAGCGAACGATGTTACGTTCGCAACGATGCATCTAGATGAACGCATTACGATTTATTCAGATATTCTCGACAATCGTAACGATCTGTCGGTTTAGTGATAGAGCGATTGCAAGCAAATGTTTCCCTTTTTGCTGGAAATCCATTATTTTATAGCAGTCCCTTTTGATGCGTCTACATATCAGAAGTATGACTTTTAAATACTGTTCCCGGAGACCCGGATAGATAAATCGATCTCAGAATAATATCGGGCGTCGTAAAACACTTACACTTTGGAACGAGCAAAGAGTTTTTGTTTGACGTTCAAAAGTGCACATAGTGGTAGTGGTGTGGTATTTGAAATAAATGATTCGACTTTTAATCTTGTGAGGGAATTTTACAAGTGCCATTGATAATGCAAATTGCGTTTAATACACGAAAAGTACTCTCTAAGCTCAAGATAACTTGGATCAAGAAAACACGTGTTATATTATACTGAAAATATTTCATAAAAGATCACGATGATGAAAGTATATGAAACTATCTGATTGTCGCGTTTTTTTAAGTGGAATTTTTAATTCTCTATTTGTTTCTTTAACAAATATGTAATTTCAATAAAATTATCATAGTACAAGAACTAATAGATTAAATATTTAAATGATGTTTGAGTATTAAAAGAGTAACGGAGTAACATATCAAATGCAAACTAATAATTAGCTACAGCTACATTAAGTCCCTGTTAGTCTGCTTTCGAACAACCACTTTCTTAGATAGACTCAATAGATGTAAATGCGCACGATTGTTCAGACCGTGTTTCAGCATTGCAAAACAATATGGCGATCGCAATAATTATACTCTAGAATGTACCATTAAGCTTATATTAGGCTCAGTGATTGCACAAAAGTAGCCGATAATAGGAGCGAACAAGGAGTTTACAAGCCAGCTGTGTTTAATCTATGGTGCGCTGTACCTGTCACTTTCCACCTCCATTTTTGTCGATTTGGCGGGAAAATAATTGGTTATATTATCACGCGATCGCGTGGTTAGACAACATAAATGGGTAGTTCATTAAAAAAATTAAGAGTTCCTAATTTACACACAAGGGTCCTTCTATCATGTATTTTACACAAAAGTTAACGCAGTTTATCTTTATCATTTCGTTAAAAGTAATAAACGTATTTTATCACAATTAGAGCTGAAAATGAGAGCATAGTGACAGATAGCTGTGAACCTCATTAGTTTAAGAATAATAAATAAGATAAGTTAATTACTGAATTAGTTAATTTAGTAATGAATAAATCACTTCTCCCGAGACCTTTGAATATTTTCCCCTAAACTACTCTATCCATATAGCTGACCTAACATTTTTAACAATCAAAAAGAAGCAATTCGATCCAAGGGATTCGCAACGCAATACAATCAAGTCGCCGCAGAAAACCAAGTGACGTAATTCAAGCGACTCGTTCCTAGCCAAAACCAATTGTGGATAAAAAAAGGTTTATGTAAGCAAGGCCGCCGGGGCAGCGGGTCATGGGCGCTATGCAAATGAGCTGATGCCATTGTTGATAGCAAGTCATTGACTATGCGGACCTGGATACGTTACGTCCATTCACGGTAATAAAAGGATTTTTATGATGGATTTTATTAGTGCTTCTAGCTAAAGTGTTGCGAATAACCGAAAACCAGTTTTGTAACATCATATTTTAATAATAAGTTCGGGTATACAAACATAAATATTCGTTTGAAAGGTATTGTAGACTCTAAAGATTGATTTGTTATCTGCACAGGTATACAGGTTGTAATGTAAGACATGGGTCGACGTTACGGATTAGCAGTGATGCGAAGTTATGCAGGGGTCATTCGTTATTTACGGCCGCAGTAAGGATGCGTGAGATGTCAAAGTTATACGCAGATTAAAATAACGACTCGTAACTTGAAATATGTATATGGCTTAACTTAATAGTTAAATAGATTTAGGGCCGTTGGTTTCAAAACACCTTTAATATTACATACTAACTACGACGCAATACTTTTCAAGGAATATGTACAGGGTTTATTATGCCCTCATCCAGATTAATTCCGATTGAACCTTGATCCTCAAATGGGCGAAGTCTTACAACTGCCTGGGTGGGCTGCGTAGCTTATCCAGGGGGTAAGCCTGAGATGTGAGGGGGAGGGGGGCTGGGTTCGACGTCCGCAGTTGACATAGAGCCGCGTGCATTGAACGCGCGGCCTAGACTGACCTCCCGCCCGACCTGACGCTCCATGTGACAGAAGATGCGAACTCATAATACTCATACAGACGACAAGTTTGTGCAAATGTTACAATTAATATTATCAGGTAAATTATTTAAATAAGTGATTCACTAAATAGCAATCAGGTTTTATTCCTATTCCATAGATTGCTTTTAAATGGAATATTGTAAAGGAATAAGTAGTGGACAGAAAAGAGTGTATAACTTTTGTATCAACATTGACAGTTCAATTGGAGTTACAGATTCAATTGAAAGTACCTACATTGACTAGATACTGTATTGTTATAGTTGTTATTGTGGCTAATAAGGAATAATATTCTAATAAGAATAAGTAATTAATATTCAATTTATATATATATATTATATTTATAATATTCATTTTCGAATCTACAATTTGGAATGAGCACCTAGCTTCACTGACGAACAGACTGACAGACTACTTTTCTATTTTGACGTTTCAAAAGTACCTATTGATGGTTTAATTGGAATAAATGATTTTGACTTTGACTTTGACTTTGAATTCAACATAATCAAACCAACTAAATAATGTATCAAAGAATCTTTATGTGACACTGATTTTAAAAGAGTAACCATTTAGTTTCTTGCTTGTTCTTCTCCATCGGAATCTACACTTTGGAACAAGCTTCTTGTAAATGCTGATTCATTCATTTCATATGATTATTCAGATACTAGTTACAGAAAGTAAAAGTAAAAATGATGAATAAGTTTGAACTTATAAGTCCTCATTATAAGAATTAAATTGCAATGAGCCTTGAATAAGTGTGGAGATCGATGCTCATTCCTTCTATATGTAAGAAGAGGCTTTTGCTGACCAAGGAGGTATTAATAAGCTGATGAAGACAATGAGGAGGAGATCTCCATAAGGATTTACCATCAGGCACAGGAACCCAAAAAAATTACTTCATTCTATAAATAACAGACAATTGTTTCTATGGCCGTTTTATGTAGGTGTTAAAATTCTATAACATATGCAAAATTATACAAAGAAGATGAGGCAAATATTTTTATAGCTGATTACACAAAAAACAAACTCAGGCTTTAGTTGTTTTACAATACATTACTTTTAACTAAAGAGTTTTCTAGCTCGGAACACATAATTTCGTACAGTGATTGATACTATTTAATATAAATTGACATTTATGGTATAGTAACCACATAGTTTATAATATTTTGTCATATATGTCATATTTTGAGTATAAATTAGAAAATTTAATAAACATTTTTCTGTTTTATATGATCTCTTTCTTTTCTATCTTTCTGTCTCTTTCTTTTCTATCATTGAGGTTTAAAATCTTATAAAAATGCATTTAAGTAGTAGCCTACGAGGTTCAATTCATATAAGGCACTAAGATTGCAGGCAGAAAGCTATTTAACTTAATTTCTATGTTTATTGTGGCTATTCATCAGTATATTCATAATATTTGATCTAAATAGGAAAGTTTCATTACGAATATGATTAATAATGATTTACATACCATGAATAACCCAATCTACGTTCCATATTTAATCATTATAAGCACTCTCTATAATAACATAACCTCAAAATCTTACCCGTTTTATATTGTGCGAACCGTCGTTTATTCTTTTCTTCTAATAATCGTTCCTCCTCGATTCTTTTCTTTTCCTTTTCTTCTTCTCTCTTCTGAACCATTTTGTTGTGCCCAAAGGGAATTACTTCATTTGATTTGCTCTGTGCGGCTTCAAATTGTGCGATATTTTCATACAACGGCGCCGACTCAACCGGTATCTTTACTTTATTAGAGTAAAGAGCCTTTAATGGATTATAATTTGAACTACAAGCACTAACTTCAGAATCTGAGGTTGAAGAATCAGATTTACATTCTTTCGACATCGTGAAATTTATTTGCAAAACAATAACAATACAACAAACACCTGCAAAATTTTGTAACACTGATGTCTTCGTTCGCAGCTCGTTGTCATTGTCAAACTCAAAATGTCAAAGTGACATGTGATCAACGTTTCGTTTCACGTAAACGATTTCATACACCTCGAAGTTGAAATAATAATGTTTTGATAAACAAATCTGTTTTTACTTAAATTATTAATAATTTGACACAGCTAAGCGAATAATGCTTCTAAGATGCGGAAATCGTTTTGGAAACAATAATTAAATTACCTCGAAGTAAATTATTATAATTGCACATTTTTTATTGACATTACAGTCATATTGATCGCGTGGTAGAATGCTGAAGGTTCTTCCTCAAACTGCAACTATTCAATAATAATTACTGTAGATGTATTATTGTAACACAAAAAACCTAATTGCAAACGATACGTATTGATCATTTTCATCCGATTAAAGAATTAGACATGGAGTCCAAATTCACGCAATACTTTTAGGAAAGTAATAATACATAGGAACGATATAATACCCAGCTAAATTAGATTTTTAATAATTTAGGTTTATTTTATTTAGGGAGGTATACTATTAGAAAACTATAAATATGTATTAAATTATCACACATTACTTACTTAAGTATTTTTCTTAGAATATTATATGTTCATTTCATTAAATGATATTTTACTACATTATAGCAAACAACAGGTTGTGTAAACAAGATAAGTATTAGCAAGATGTTAGCTCGTCGCAATTACGCCAACTCAATGCAAGGTCCTCAGAGCAATATGCAATAGGAAGTAAATGATCCAAGGTTACGTCTCACTGAAGTCTATAAATCTTTCAATAGGCTATTTATACAGGAAAATTTATTGCAAAATGCCATAAAAAGAAATATACTTACGTATATAATAGGGCATTAACGACACTAACGCCATCATACCTTAAAAAATGTAGGTAGTGAAAAATTAAATATAAAAATATTGACAAAATATTTTACTTTTCTAAAATATGTACCTATTTATTAAATACAATTAGTTATTCCGCTGTTTTTTTTTTTTGCTGTAGATATCTTACACCAGTTAGTTTCATCTTTTCGTCGCTAGATGCCACTTTGTTCAAATAACAAACATGTTTATTATAATTACAAATCATTTATAAAAAATCTTGCACCCATTTTGTGCCTATCAGACCATTATGTAGCAACACAACTTTCGTATTTGAAGGATGAGTATGCCTCTAAATTAATCCTGTGATTTAATCAAGGTAGTGCTTATGGCCGCTGTCGCCTATTAATTAGCTGCTTATTTATAGACAGGCTATGAATAATGCAACGTTAGGTAAATGACATTCTCACTTATTGTAATCTTTCTGATACACATTTCTCTACGTTACCTACACCTTTTAATAAATGCTAATTAAACTAGGTAAATCGTTTCGTTGTACCTAGGTACTATCATTTCCTTTTACATTGATAAAAAAAGATAGGATAGGTAGGTAGGCTAGTGCCTAGCAAAATAAATATGTACATAAATGGAAATTCGAACGATTACAAAAAGTCATTAAATTATAGATCAAAATCTGCAGCTTTTACCGAGATAACATCTGCCAAATACTAAAATGTGTTCGCAGTTGAGAAAATCGTTACTCTGGAAATAAAATCGACGCACGAAGAAAGCGGTACTAGGAAGCATTTAGAAAAGAAAAGTAATTCTTTTTGCTTCACACACGACAATTATAGTGAAAGACTGAGCTAGCATTGTTCACTTTTTTACAAACGGCGCGCGTTGATTGGCTGCATTTCTTTGTTTCGCGGCGCGCGCGCACTCTTCCGTGCATTGTGAGCTCAGCATAATATGATTACGAGAACGTCTTATGTTTGTTACGTTAATAACTTTTTTCTTTGTTTTTTTTTTAGTAGCTGCAAGCATTTTATGGTCAGTTAATTCTTAAGATAAAACGGTTTACGTAACTCCTGTAGGAGTTAAGCAGCAATGCGAAGGCGAGTGTTAGGTATTTTTTGTGAACCATATGCAAGAAAAAATATTAATTTCTAATATAAATTATTACTTTGGAACACACTATAAATATGTATACGTTAAAAGTGTAAGCAAAAATGAACTATATCTATTATTATACATAAGTGCAACTTAATGTCCACCATTGTAAACTTCCAGATCAATTACTAGTATAGGCATTGTCTACAAATTCATTTGAAGTCGCCCAAAATAGGCGAGTAACGCAAGTTCGTTGACTTGCCCATACGTCACAACACCAGATTAGATTTATTGTACTATTCGCGACACGTGAAGCGCAAACGATCCACGAATGATTTATTAATCTTTAACACCTACTTAAGTGGGTCAAACTCAGTCTGCAAATATTAATCGAGACATTAATTTATTTAATTTAAGTTTATGTTTAATTATATTTCTGATGGGAACCAGATACAAGTTATTTATTAGCTTTTGTTTTCAATTTCAGAGCAGCGTGAGCGTGTGCGCAAGTGGGTGAGCGCCGCGCTGCCTCTATGCTGTATCGACGCAGATTTGACATTCACCGGGACGTCGCCAGGTGATCTCGGTGCATTGTCACCGCCACAATTACAACACTATTACACAAAAGCAAGCCGAAAATAAGAAAAATACCGCTTAACCAGTAAACTCAATGTAACCATATTTTTTACTTACTTCTGCAGACTAGCGCTATCTTATGGCGAGTAGCAAACCTAGTAATTTTGTTAAATAAATAAAATTATTGAATAAAAATAATTTTATCCAATATACAATTATTTTAAAACTAGCTGCAAACTTAATATACAGCTCATATTTATCATATATCTTGGAAATAATTTAAGGTTTATAAGCTAACACATCCATATTTTACTCAATTAACTCCAACAAAACCCACAATAATTTTAATCACGAACAGTGTTAAGACGTGAAAGCCTACGCTCGTAATCTTAACAGGTCGCTGCTGAAGAGAAGTGGATTACGAGGAGTGAGGTAACCTGGCCGGGAGGAGGACAAGCAAGACGAAAAAACAGAGCCATCTGTCGTCCAGCGGCAACAGAATCAAACCGAAATGTGTTCCCCCGTAACTAAGTACCTAGAATTCGCGTAATACCTACATCGAATAATGTACGTTCCGTCCAAGAAGCTGCCAAACATTTTGAACGAATTTATTAGTGTAAATACATTTTTGGACTATTTATATTTGTGTATAGTTCGCGTGTGTTCGCAAGTGTAAGAGTGGTGTGAAAGCGCCACCTAGTGTTTAAAAGTGACAAAGGTGGCGGGGACGCATGCGCCATCGGGACAGGCGCTGGCGATGCCATTTATTGAAGACGAATGGTGGTCCGCCGAGAATGAGGGCAGGATGGTTGATCTCTCCAATTGCCTGCAGGTAATACACTCCAAGTTGCACTCCGCAATGTAACTAATAACTCAATCAATCGTTTTTAAAGCTGTCTACACCACACTGCTGATATTTAGAACTGATATATTTAATTATAATTTTAAGAAAGTTGGAGTTATTTTACGTAACTGTGTTTATTTATTTATGTATCAGCTCAAGCTATTCAACTAACTTTAAAATGTTCCCTATTTACGTTTATTGAACGTCATAGCAATCGTTAAGAATACGTATTATATAATATCCATATTAAATTTTAGTACTTAATAACCAAGAGTATAGGCACACACACAACACAAACGACAGTACATAAGCAAAAACGTATACACAAAACGTGTTAGTTCCAGGACGCGGTAGTGGCAGCTGGTGGCCAAGCGGCCGCCCAACTCCAACAAATGGCGACATCTCTTGGGGATCTCTCGCAAGCCGAGCTGACCAACATCGTCGGCGGTCTGACACTGGAGCCTGACACAGGCGAGGCAGCGGACCCTGATGACATCCTCAAGCAGCTGGGAGAGACCGCTTTTGACAACTTTGAAACGTTTTTTACGGATCTAACGAATGCCACCGCGTCTTCAGTACCGCCTATTGAAATTAAGGTGAGATAATGTTATTTTTATATAACATATTAGTAATACATACTTGTTGTATTCTAAAACATTATAATCATATGATACATTCAGACACTTCAACACATACATAGAGAGGTATAGAGAGGCTCTATCAGACTGATCTAGTCAGTAACCCATTTATTCAGTATATGTTTTTGGAGTGACGCGTCATACCGGCGGCCTCTACACAAAACTGTCCAGTTTACTAGTAATAGTACATACCTAAGAAGTTTATCTGACTATGCAATTGTTTACTTCCGCTTAGTAAAATAAGCATAATAAATTATCTTTTTTAATTCCTGAATGTCTATCGATTTCAGCAAGAAGAAAACAACAACATATCATCGCCAGCGTCCAGCAGCCAACTCCAAGGCTACTATCAACAAAACAGTCAATTATCACTGCCAAACAACGGCCAGCAACGGTTACAACAGCTGTTGAGATCGGGCACGAGTGCCATCAACAATGCTGTGACCAATAACATCAACAATGGCCGATATAACATCGCTTCTGCGAATCCTTTGCTTGCTGAGAAGCTATCAGCGTCACCTAGTGGGATCAAGCAAGAACCAATCAGTTCGGATTACAACACGACGAGTATGAACTATGGGAGCGCGTCGCCGATGCAGAGGATGCCGAGCGGGAAGCCGCAGGTGCATGATGCTGGAGGAGGTAAAGGTGAGTTTTATTAATTAATAGAATAAGGCTGGGACAGATTAAATAAGTTTGTGAATAGTGACATCTAACGGCTAATAGCAAAACTACTTTAAAACGACTTTACTCTGATGTATTCGCAATATTTCTAGTTGTCACTAGATGGCAGCACTAGTATCTTAAAGTTATAGTTTCTCAAATAGACGATAGATGTCGCTACCATGACTGATGTTCAATTGCATCGTTGGATGCATTAGCTTCGTCCGCCTATGCAGTTTTCTCCTCGCGATCACAATCCACTTTCGATTTCCGCTCGAGGAAGTGCTGACGATTTTCCTTTCACGACTTGCCGCTTTTACCTCGTCAAACGTTTAGGCCGGTAGCCACGAGAAAGTTTTATTAAACTAGACAACTGTATCAAGTGTATAGAAGTAGGTAACTATGATCCTACTCTTAACATGACTTAGAAATTGATATCCATTATAGGAGTGTAGAGTAAGTAGTCAATCCATTGATTTTACTAATCACCCAAAATGTAATGCAATGGTCCTGATTTCTGAATCAGTGGTTTTATTTCTGACTCACCCACACTATCTGTATCTATTCTACTACTATTGTCTGTATAAGTGTTCGTCACTTTCAATTTAATGAGTTTTTAGCATTTACAAATCTAAAACTGGTGATCTGTTAATTTTCAATAGGTACCTACCTTTCTTTTTTCTTCTACTTATATCTACTTATTTTGATATTGTCGCTAAGAATCCTTATATAGGTTTATTTTTGTAGTTTTATTGGAAATACGACACTGTCAGATATATCTAAGACGCAGTAGGTCAGTGGCGCCCCCGCGCGGCCGGAAGCGAAAGCGAAGCGAGTGGTCGGCACATCTAACCGCTTTCCCTACCTAATAATCTATCTGAAACTACATACATACATACTGTTGATACTTGATACATACACACAGAACAACTATGGGGGAAAGTTTGAAATAAATTTCAAGATATTACTGAGGCGGATAATGATATAGAAAAATAAGTTAAATTTACTTATACTGAGTATAAACTTATTGGCTTACTTTAGATACATAAGTAAATTATGATAAAAAAATTAATAAAGTTTCTTACCTTTAATATCTAGTTATTTTAAAATTAACTTACGTAGCGAAAGCATATTTAGTAAGGTAAGTAGGTAAAGCTAAATATGCCATGTAAGATGATATTTATAGAAAAATATCAAAATAAAAAAAAAACAAAATCGATGTTTCAACTACCTACCTACTTACTTAGACAAAATATTTCGCTAATCACAAACGATGTTTGTAGATGATTTCATTACTAAAGAAATCCAACAAAACAAGTTGTTATGGAGGTAGAGAATATTAATAAATTATTTTTTCCTTTTCAAATGCAAGATCTGCACGGCCAAAGATGGCCGCTAGCGGTGCATATGCGTGCATACACCAGCATAGGTAATTATATGAGAATTATGTTTTATCTATTGTACATAGCTTTCGATTAATGCACAAACAGGTTTACAGCCGCGTTTCAGAGAAAGTGAGAGCAATTAATGAAAAGTGCTGAGATTAAAGTTACATAGAGAACGCAGTTAGGTAATAATGCAACGGGAAAGTTTCTAAGTACGGATGGAAAGATATTTGTTTTAAGACTTCAAATCTACTGAAAAGACTTGAATAATAGGCACATATAGATATAGGTTTTATTCTGTAAGCATAACTACTATTTTTCACTTGGAACCAGAAGCTTGCTTATTATAAGTATACCTAAAAATAGCATTTATCCCCTTCTTTGCTAGCATGAATTAGCTAAAAAAGATAAGTCCTTCTCCGTCCAAAACACTGTATGTAGGTACATAAAACATACCTATATAATATTAATTGGAATAATCATTTTCCGAGTATGATGGAGTGGTATCTATTTAATAAAAAATATCTTGTGTGCTGATCCTTGTTGAAACATAGAAATAGAAAGTTCCTAGCCATGATTAGGTACTCTCTGGAAAAGAAAGATCGTCCACAGCACATTAACAGTATCACTTCAAATCGGTACCGTAGTTCTGTAACCAGATTGACACAAATGCCACAAAATATACAAATTAATACTAACTACTAATACCTACTTTACCTAGTGCGTTATATAATACATAATGTTCACCTAATAAAGGATAATAGTTGTTTGTCAAATTATCGCGGCTTGTTAATAGGTAAACCATATCACGATAACAGGTAAAACACACCAATTACAATATAATTATGTGATACAATTTAATCGTAAATTTAGGTACTTATGGTCACATTACATCATCAGCATGTTGGTGCCTACTGCTGACCAAAGGCCTCTTCTCACATGGAGAAGATTTCAACATTAATCGCCATGCTTACTTAATCAAGACGGGTTGGTAAACTTATAATTAGAAACAATACCTAAGTACAAATCTAATTATTTTCCACAGCCACAACTTTAGTTGTCAGTTTTAAAACAATTTCGCCATAAACATACTAAAATATCAATCAGGGTACTATTAGATGACGTTGTGTTTAGTAGGCAATTAAAAAAACTTAATAGGATAATTTTCGAAACGATCAAATAGTTAAATATTTTTTGCTCTTAACACACGTAGACACTGCGGCTTATTAGAAAAACGGCAAACACTTTGAAAGTTTTTATCACTAAATAAAAAAACCTTTTTGGTTTTGCCGCCGACGTTCAAGCACTTAGGGCTTCGCCCCCCGGGACCAAAGTTACAAGTGTAGTGTGGAATTAAGGAAGTTTCGATTTTTTCTCTTTTAAAGAAGGCCAAAGTTCAAAGTGGTTTTTACGCAAAGAAAATAAAGTGCGACACAATTGCTATAACTTATTCATAACAACTTGTGTCAACGTTGTGAATTACGTTTTAGCGTAACAAACGAACAGACGTCCCTTTCTTTTATATATTGGTTGGTGAAACTACGAACAAACACAAACTGTTGCCAAAGTTTACATTACTGGAAATGTTCTTTAATTTCGTTATATAAAATCAAACTTGAAAGTCTATCAAAATCCCCTCGTTTGGTCCCATGTAATATTACGTTAGTAGATCCCACAGGTATCGCACTCATCAAAAAAATCATTAAAAAGTTCCAAATAGACAGATATCTATTTAATATTTAACCTTCTCATTTATAGAGATAGAAAAAGAAATAATAAAGTGATTCGTTAGGAATTCAATACCTTAAACCAAAATACTTTGAACATTGTACTTCTAATAACCATTACAGAATCATTGTAAAGTTCAAAAATCAATTTTTGAAGAACGCCAAAGCAGTTACAATTTGCAATCGGTTCCTTTCAGCAAACCTTGACACTATATTATTTCCAGAAGCAAATATTACATTACAAGTAAATAAATGCGTGTAAACAATATAGGAAAACTATGTGAATCACAATATTTTGCGCTGCTATCTTCCTGGAAGGTGATCTGGGGTAGTGGGGATGTAGGTCAAGGTGGTGAGGTCGCGACACCTGACTGACGTCACCGTGATGACGTCACAGTGCAATGGGCTATACAACTACACTCCCATACTTGTTATTTGTATTTGACACCATGTACATATGATTAGTAAGTAGTTAATTAGCTAGATAGACGTTTGACAATAGGTTTATCAAGAAATTATGACAAATACATTTAAAATTTCAATTTATCTACTGCAAATGATATGAAAAAAAATCTAACAATTAAATAACAAATAGACGTCAAACATTAAGAAATATAACTACTTCTATAGCCCTCCAAAACTTTTAAAACAAAAAAAGTTATATCACAAAGGTTTCTTTCCCCCATCACAATAAAAATCACAAAAACGATTTACTACTGAGTTGTCAGAACACTTTATAAATTTAAAAAATAAATAAATATGAAATAAACGTCCCCTTGAAGCATATCACGTCACATCCTTACATCAAGGAATCCGCTTAGCTGTGGGCGGACGGACGATTGACCTAAACAACATCGTACCCTGCAACCCATTTTTATCTTGGTTTATTTAACCCACTCACTATAAATTCCTAGTAGACACATTGACACTTGTATAGCATCTATTTTAAATTGTGTAATGTAATGGAAAGCTCCGGTATTGGTCGTCACAAAATTATAGAGTTTTTTAGTGTAGTTTTTTTAGTTAGTATTTGATTGTTAAGTTACTTAATGTAAAATGTTTCAGAATTATATGCCTAGTAGTCTTGTAGTCATTCGATATGCAACAGGTTCGTCATAAATGGTTCTCCTTCGTAATTGTACCTATACAAAAATGTCTTAGACAAAATATAAAACAAGTGAATTAGGAAGCCGCCCAAAAAAAAAAAAACAATCTAGAACGTGTGTTGACTATAACAGTGTCGGCAAAATTATATCTTTCCTTAAAAATTTGCGATTTTTGTACAAAATATAAAGAATGATCCGTCAAAGTCACATTTTCCCGTCCATCGGCAGAAATTCCCGAAACCCAGGCATCTAGTGTATCTAGGTTATCGACGCGTAACGTTTAGTATTTCCTGTGATCCACTTCCGAGGTTACAACCTGACCGCGGCAACCGCACATAAGGAACTCTAATGTGAAATTATAAATCTGAATCTTCATGTGCCGATTGTCTGTTGCAATGGTTACTTAACTTTTTCTTATAACTTTAGATGCTGGATGAAAATCAGAAAAAAATGTTAAATTATTTACGATTGAAGGTCAATTTTAAAGTGTTACAAAAGCTTTTTGAGTTTTTTAGTTAGACATACCTATGTATTTGATACATTTTAAATATTCAAAAAAAGTCATGATGGCGTTATGTATGTTCACACAATGCGTTTCCTACTGCCGCGGCACGAAGTCGTAAGTTTGTGTTTGTTTTTATATCATTCTAAAATACAGTTAGTTACGAAGGAACGATATTTTTATAAAACTATGAATCAGTGAACGCAAAATATTTTTGGCTTACACTAGGAAACATGCGTAGGTCCATATTTACCGGTCAATAATAGAACAAGTTTCAGAATTAAAACATGAACTTTCTAAAAATACACTCTTTTGTTCTCTGCAATAAAATTCCTGTACTTCCTCCAACGTCATTTAAATTCGTCGTAACCAACTCGTTGAAACGTGATTAATTAGGAAAGTAGCTCATCGTACAAGTACTGTTGACTATTTTGACTGCAAATGGCGATAAAGGGGTCTCTTCTTAATTAGGGGGATCTTTTTAATACCTAATTGAATTTTATCCTGTATTAACGTCAAGTTAACCCTTTATCACTATTTGACGGGGCTCATAACATTAAAAATATACTACACAGACTGACTGAGAACTTATTGTCGATATATGTAGCTCAACTGATTAGCAAACTGAAGTGGTAGAACCGATGATGTCGGAGAAGACGTATTCTGGAGTGATGTCCGCGTCTGGGTACAAGGAGTAAAAGAAATTGGCTGATGATTATAATGATGTTGATAATATTAAATTAATTCACAGCTTCGCCTTGCCTTTCTAAAATGTTTAGAATAAAATTATACTGTACTGCTCTGATATAATCATTTGCGACAAGTATCGTTACACTTATACATTATAGAATGACACTATATGTACTTCAATGTTTGAAACGGTTTGCCAAGTGCAGTGGACTTTATTTAATAGCGCAGTTCTTAAGGAAGACTGGAGACATTAAAATATAATACTAGGTCTTGAATCGGAGTAGGCAAATTAATATTTGATAGAACGAGGTTTAAGCTATCTAGGTCACTATTACTAATCTAGGGAGGTGCATTCTCGCTTGATGTGTTGGCCTAGGGCACAGAACCTTGGGGATTTCCATGTCGTTGGACAAACCCTCATTCCACTACGTTTATTTTTTACCTCACCTCAATGTTATCTTTTTTCCGTCGCCATGTTTCCTTGCCCGCGACAGTTTGTCTACTGAAACTGTCAGATTTTCATCAGAAACTGTCTATTTTTGACAACCGCATCCGCAATCCTTAGTGCACGGTGCACCGCGTGCGTCACGGGTGCGTGTGTGTGCGTGCACAACCATGACCCCGTTTTCACTGCGCGCAAACACTGCGCGCGTGTGTGCCGCGTATCTACACGGCGCAGTGCATGTGTGCGACACATGTGCTTGTGTTATGTCACACGAGATGGAGCGTGCGTTTCGCGATGCGTGCGCCTGCGTCGCTACGGAGGTTACTCTGCTTTCCTTATTGGACTGCATTAGTGCTAATAATAGAGTGTAGAATACAAATAATTGTATGGATATAAACAAGATCACTGGAATTCCACTGAGTCACGTTAGTCTGTTAATTTATGCCATTCGACTTTGTACGAGGAAATCGTAAATGGAGCAGTTTATTAAAAATATAAAGTAATTAATGTAATTAAATAAAAGGAGATATATTACTTCCTTCGTACATATGTGTGTCACAATCTACAATAAATAACTGTAGTTACGACACCGCACCAAAGTCTTTCTTGCCGTTCACTACCAAGGACCATAGCCAATCATGACCCGCACGAAGATCAGGGCAATTTAGGTGTCTATTAACTATTAAAAGCCGGACGTCCGCCTATTAATAACAAATCTATCGAAGTAGAGCATACTTCGGCACGTCTCTATTACGCAAGCGCACATCCGCGCGCGTCGCCTTGAGAACTGTAACCGGCGCAGGCGCAACACTGGTGGTTTTGAATCTATGGGAGAAGTGTGAGATGAAATTATAATGGCGACAAATACTTTGATTCTTAGACTGTAGAAACGAATACAATTTGACCTCAGTAAATGGCGTTTAGGCAGTAAAATGTATTGTAGAATTGTCTAAGATTGAGAAACACATGGACCATCCATGCACCATTATGGGTTGAAGGTGGTCTATGTAAACATGTAATTGGTGTATTGCAAGTCGTAAAAATCCATATAAAGACAATATCGTAGGCAGGCTTAGGGAACTTTGCAGTTTGTTAGAGAAACCTACGCCTGTTCTCACGCATATGGGCGCCTAGTTACTTGTATAGGTAGACCAATTATTTCAACTAATTTTGTACCAAAACGCACCTCTAAATATGATCCAAATCTTCAATTAAAACATGTTCAATGTAATAAACGATCGCGTTTAATACGATTATTTAAAAAATAAAAACAATAAATCTAAATTTAAAAATCCTCTAATTGAAACATACCTACAACAACGGGTACATCTTTATGGTTTTTTCTCTGAAATAAATAAAAAATATTTTACGTACTGTATCCATGTATTTGTTCAATAGATAAATTTGTACTTTACAATTATTTATTTTTAATTGTAACCAGAAAACCAAATATTTAATTAATTAACAATTTAATTACGCAATCATAACCAAATTAATGTGAAATTTTCCGCAATACCCAACCAATTTCGGCGAGTTAAAAATCAAATTGTAAGTTAAATACACCAACTACTATTTATTAGAGGATACAATAAGTGTTGAACGTTAAATCACTTAACTAAATAACAATTCAAGGTGAAAACTAACCGGTAACTTAACTTCCAGTAGTTTAACTCAGATTTTTAACCGCGTCATTAAAGGAAAACCGTTAATTAATCATTTCTGATGATATTTTCTGACTGAATGTTCCCGGAATTTAACAGTAGCGGACATTTCTCGCTGTAACTGGCCATGACCCAGAAATATATGTAACACGTAAACAAGCAGGCGTCTCTGGAAGTGTCTGACCGACACGTGGTCTGGACGTGTCTGGCTGCGCTAATTGTCCTATACTGTATATTTATTGCTTACATTGTTCTTAGGTAGAAGTTCATGTAACCTGTCTCCATTCTTTCCGATAACTTTAAAATTGGCGATCTCTTTTTATAAGAGACTAATCATTTAATGACTTCCACTTTGCGTGGGACGAGAGAAAGTGACCGACTCTTTGTGACTAAACACTACCTCGTATCTTCTCCTGCTCCCGCCCGTAGCCACGGTGTATCATAGCTCTTGCACTTTCATACCCGAGGTATAATCTCCTTAGGAAAAATCTAAATTTTTCATCATACGAGTTTATGTATCTAACAATAAGACTGACAATTAAATTAACAATGATCCCATTTTTCTAACAGGAAACCAAAGTACTCTAATAAACAAGTATTCTTAGCAAATAACAATCAAACGCCATCTATACTTAAAACACAAAATTAAATTGACCGTGACAAGAGTCAGCTAGTCCACCACACAAGTTAATACCGTATGCATGCAAAATGGTTTACAATCATTTTCTTTCGCCAGACACCGGTGATTAGGGTCTGGGCATACATTTTGTGCGGCAAAATGTCTGGTCATGTATTTAGCATGCAATAATAAGTGCTAAGTTGTGGGACGCATGCGCACGGCCGGCGGAAACCAATGAAACTATATTACCTTAATTGTGCAGTGTGCTTTGTACAGCCCCGCTCGTAAATACTTGTTCTCAGAAGAATTTGTTTAAAATATTCTATTTTCAAATGTTAATTGGCAGTGAGTAAAATATCTATCGAGAGTACGGAATTAAAACAGAAAGCAATATGAAACAGTCACCAGTGGCCCAATCAGCGCCGTAAACTCGAGACATCGTATCCAAACCGCAGAATATTTGCACTTGATGACGTATAATTGTCACCATGCAAATAACCCGTTTCGCATCCCTTCTTTTCCTAAACTGACTCTTCCCCACGCTGTAAGCCATCTTATAGCAGTAGGTACTTACTTAAAACATAATTGAATTCTGTTTACTTCTGTCAGTCCACAGCTGGGCTTATACGCCAACTCCACGTAAAAGGGTTTGCTGTACTCTTCACGGTTTACGATATTCTTCTATAGGTTTACATTTAACAGACAGCTATTATGTCAAATTTCAAAATCAAAGCCCTTATTGTAATAAGGGCTTTGATTTGGCTCTTAGGAAACCCTCGGAAAGAATGAAGCTGGTTATTACGAGACAATAAAGAATATAGTACCTACATTATAACCTAGATATTCCAATTATTTGTGAAGTGGTCTCAGCTCGACTGTACACTTGAATCTAAGCGGCTCCTTGAGGCAGTGCGACAACCTTAATCATGTCAATGACGACGTACCACATACGCACACACGCGCACCGCACTCACACGCGCACAGCATGCGTGTGCGCAGTATCCTGCACAAGTGCACGCGACACCGTTCGCCTGCACCGGTTTGTTATTGCTAATAAGAAGTTTGTTGTTATCTCATTTTATGTTCCCAACTAGAATATGAGACAGCTCGAAGGGATACGGCGAGACAGATAACTTGTATTGCGCTTTTTTAATTAAGATATTCTATTACATACTTATCTTGTGACTTAATTGCGTTTAATTTACTGTCTCTTGTCTCTCCAGTAAATATTAACTATACAAGTACATATTTCAGTATAGCATTCAACAACTAGGTACCTACATCAAGCATGAACCTATCTTCACAATTAAAACTACAACAGAATTGTAATTCATTCCCAATACTTAAAAAAAAGAAATCTATAAATATACACACGACATTCTAAAATTGATAAAATTAAATTTAATTGATGATACGAAGATAATCGTTTCCTGTGACCACATAATTAATTATATTAAAATGATAAATTTGACATGTTTACAATCATTTCTGAATATCATTATTATGTAGGGGAAATACAATATATGAATGGAAACGTAAAATAGATTTAAATCACATGAAAAAATAATTGTTCGGACACTATTTACTCATTAAAAATATCATAAACATTAAAGATTGATTGGAAAAAAACATGTTGTATGAATACTTATCACTTTTGCAATATGAAAACGGAAATAAATAATGTAAAACTCTTTTTATCTTTAGGTACTTTTCTTTAGTAATTTTTCATTCAATTTATATCCTGTTTAATCAATAATGATGCAAAATGCACATAATATTGTAGAAAATATCGCTGCTTTCCTATGTTTTTTTTTCAAAAAACAAGAAGCGATCGTGTGTCTTTTGCGTTCTTCTCAATTTGAATCTAAATTTTGGAACGAGCACTGTTTTATCTACTAATTTAGAGACTGATTTAATATTCAACTAGTCTCTACTCGCGTCTTTGCCTGCGTATATATATTCATATATTAGTAGATTTTTTTCTTTTGAAACGTACCTAAATATGTTTTATTAGGAGTTTATTTGAAGAAGTTATTTAACATTTTTAGATTTAAGAATGACTTAACAAACTACCTTATGGCAACAGTCACGAAAGCCTAAATTCCAAAACACTAGAGAACCAATACTGTCTTACTATGATAGTAACTGATTAAATCGCAATACAATTTATTCTACATCAATCTAAACGCGTAAAAAACCAGTAGAGGACTGTTTAATTGTCATTTCGTAATAAATTATTAAATTATCGTCACCCTCCTCTTAGTTTCATATTCCGTGTCCACGTGACTGTTCCTGATGCAGACCTCGTTGCATAATCTTCACAAAACAGGCGCAGGCGCAAGGTTTTGCAATCACATTACTAACTGGGACGCGTATGTTTAACGTATCGGTTTAATAAATCAACAGCTTTAAGGAGAATTTATTTCGCAGATTAGGGAATTTAGATTTTTTATCTGTTATTTAAAAGATGGTTCAATATGTGTTAATTGTCTATGCTTTAAAATATATAGATAATTTTAAACTTCGCCGCCTTCATATTTGGTCATCCTAGTGATAAGAAGTGGCCTCTATAGAGAGGTAATTTTGATTTTTAACAACATAACTTATTTTATATAATTTTGTACCAATGTAATGTTAAAACTTTTATTTATTAAGCTTGAAGGATTATAAGAGTTGGCGCTCTCTCATTCCTGTTTGCTCTCATGTCACAAAAGTATAGATGTAATGTACACATATGTTTAAGGCGATTGTAGCGACAACTTACATAAAAAATACATCATCAATGATTGAACAATAACTTAAATGATTTAAATTGTATATGACGCACACCGTTTGGTAGTTAGTTTATTTGAAATTAATATTATCCGCCTCGGTCCGAGTAACGGCTTGCAGAATACATAATGTATGCGCACATATGCACCCATGCACTAAATATACTGAATAATATATTACAGTAAAAGTATACAGGTACTGTCACTCTCCCGGTCCATATTTGAATGTTTTGAAGGCTTTGTTAATGCATTTTTATTAAATGTACAAG